TTTTCAAAGTCATTTTGCAGTAATTTCTTGAGTCTCGGTTGTTCAATTAAGCTGGATTTTAAATAGAAAATTTCCGTAAGCTTGTCGTTATCGTGTGAACCACTATAATAGAAGTTAAGTAAAAGTTAACAAAATTGCAAATATCTTAATGGAATATTATTAACTTTCAGTTCTTTTATAGCAAAAAAATTAATATTTCAAAATTAAATATTTTCACGAATTTGTCAATTTAATTTTCTGCTTTGTATAAATGTCGATTAATTTTAAATATTTGCTGAAACGAATAGGATACGTTTAATGTAGTTCCACTGTTTTTTATATGCGATTCAGATTTTAATTAACATCCATCTTTATATAAATATTATTAAATATGATATTGTTGTTTTATCGGGAACACTCAACCGTATAATAATTGAATGTCTCAGGGGTCAAGCTGACCAACTACACTTTTTGTAAATTCCTCAATACCAAATTGCAAATATCTTAATGGAATATTATTAATTTTCAGTTCTTTTATAGCAAAAAAATTAATATTTCAAAATTAAATATTTTCACGAGTTTGTCAATGGTATTATACACTTATATTGAGTATTTGATCATCAAAATTATATTTTTCTTTTCTTTATATATTGTACAAATACACGTCAAAATAACGCTTTCGCATATTCATTCAGTTTGTCATAAAAAATTGTGAAAAAACAAGCACGATTTTCAGGCAATCTGACCCTTCTGTCACCTTAAGTTTCCACGTGTCGATCTATCACGTGAAACGCCATACGAGCTTTTTATACAATTTTGCGGAATATATTCTTCATGAGCTGCGCCATTAAACTGGGCAGTCAGCTGTACTGTTTGTAAATTTCTTCATTTTCGTTCGAGCGCATGATTAGTACTTCTCATTTTCTGGTATTGAGGAATTTACAAAAAGTGTAGTTGGTCAGCTTGACCCCTGAGACATTCAATTATTATACGGTTGAGTGTCCCAATAAAACAACAATATCATATTTAATAATATTTATATAAAGATGGATGTTAATTAAAATCTGAATCGCATATAAAAAAACAGTGGAACTACATTAAACGTATCCTATTCGTTTCAGCAAATATTTAAAATTAATCGACATTTATACGAAGCAGAAAATTATATCAATAAAGGGATGCGCGCGTCCAAGCAAAATTGCATTATTGCATTTTTTCGCAAGTTTAATAATTTGCAATTAATTTTAGTCGCACACGTGGCCACTTGAAGCATCTCAGTTTACGCCTTTATTACATGCGCCATTAAAGCATTAAATTTATCAGAAAAAAACAACTCGTGTCATAAAGACGGAAGAGAACCATCGAGAACCATCGCGTGTTATATATAAATTGAACTGAATACTGAAATTGCAAAAAAAAATAAACAGAACCTTGACAATAGACGAATTCGATAATACCATCGCTTTATAGCCTTTATATGTCACCTTAAAACTCTTCAAGTCAAAGTTAGGACACCGTCCGCCATTTGTAGAAAAGAAGTGAGTGAGAGAGAAGCTGCAGTGTGCTTCGTCATTTCAGTCTCACGCCCATATTAACAGTCATTACTTGAACCTCGTTTCAAGTGAGATACTCAGATTTAAGTTTAGAGTTAGATGAGTTTTTCCATTGAATCGTGACTACAGATATAAATGTCACATTCATCACAATTTAACTGAAAAATTTTAATCTGACACTAGATAAAAATATGAGTGTCCCATCTGAGACAAATTTTAAATAACGACCATTGATATAAGACTTAGAACTTCTCTTTCATTTCTGCTAGAGTCTCTCTCTTACATTCCCACCACATCAAAATGACGGACAGAATGTGGACCAATCAGGAATCATCATATTTTGTCGTAACTCTGACTAGAGACGTCATCTTAAAGTGATCGATAATCGGTTTGTGATGACACACCGAGATTGATGAGACGCATGTATTTGTTTACTATGGCGCACCACACTATTGACATAATCATCGAGTAATTACAGTATAGAATAGCGGACGTTGTATCCCCACGTATACCTCTCGATGCATTCATTAACGACCAATTGAAATTAATATACAATGACCGCGAGAGATAGATTACTGCATACCATAAATCACTAATGTTAATGACGCCGACCAATAATATTATACATATATGCCAAAGTGTTAAATGCATGTAGATGATTTCGTCTAAAAGACACGTGATCTATCTATTCATCCATTCATCCATCCTATCAAATTCCGTAACAGCGTGACTGAATTATTCGCATCGGCATGATACGAATATGAGAGGGCACGCTATTAATATTGGAACGCGATATTTAACGCGATATTTAGTATTAATAAATAGCTCGCGTGTGGCGGAAGAAATTTTGTTGGTTGAAATTTTGTTGAATTTTAATTATTTCCGATACGAATATACACGCGTTACAACAAACGTAGATTAATAATACATGGAGATACGTCCAATGAACTTGTATCCTGACTGAAGTCCGAATTAAATGCTCACTTGAAACGAATGTTTTGGAAACGTTACGTCATAGTGGTGAGATTTGGTCGCGAAGATTATTTAATTGAATGTACTGCTCGAATCAATGAAAATAAAGGAGAATAGAAGATTAAGATGAAAATATTAATGCCCGGACACTAATAAAACCGAACACTAGTATCCAACTCCAGAGATTCTTACACAGGAAGAAGGAATACTCTTATTTTGAAAATATCTTTATTTTTTAAATATAAATCTTAAAATGAAATTACATGGTATTAAATGAAGACAAGTTACTTAAGTCCAGAAATATATGTGCTATTAATGTCCAGACATTCGTCTTTTACCTTGAATCGCCGTTTCAAGTCCGAACACTAACGCGATGTGATTACCAAGTCGTTACGTTAATTATTTACATAAGAGAGATTGAAATAAAAATTTTCGCAATAATCAAAATTTATCGTCAAAATTTATTCAATATCTTTTATTAAAATTTCCTGAGCACGCGCGCGTATATGCCGTATCATATCTCGGATATCGTGTTCACCCACATATATTCTCATAACGTACATATGTGACATTTCTTTTTGTGGTGAGGGGACAGAAGTTTTTCGTATTATATCGAGAGCACACGACAAGATACACGACAAGATTTCGAGATTAGATGAGGCGTACGAAATGAGAAAAATCATATATTTTCCCGAGTCAGATCGTGCTAGGAATTGAGAAAACTCGCGTATTCAAAATCTGACTGCGCCGGTCGATAAGAAATACGAACGATAACAAGTAGTTTTCGTGTCTCGAAACGACGATCCTACTCTGAGACGTCTTCATAATTTATACGAGCGCAAAATGCCGGGAAATTTATTACAAAATACCCGATCATTGTTTTACACTCATTGTTCCACTTTATTTATCTAGACTTCTGGCAGCCCAGTTTAATTTCAAACTTTATTTTTTCGAGACAAACGGAGTGGCACAGCGCCGTAAATTGCGGCGCTGTCCTTCAGCGGAAGGAAAAGATCGACGATGTAACACATCATCAATCGGATCACACGCTCGCACAGCGCGCATGTCGCGCGAATTATTTTATCATACATTACACGTACACACACATATACGCGGAACGATGGAATCGCGATCGACGCGGAATCGCGCTCGACGAACTCGGTAATCGCGCGGGGATTAACGCGATACGCGGCTCTTGTGTGGGGCATGTAAAATGAATAATTAATATATTCAAATGCAACGCGTACTTAAACTATACAGCGCCGCCCGCGTCGCCTACATCACCGTCATCGTCTCGCCGCCTCTGATACGTAATTCACATCCACACGAACGAACGAACGTGTATCCGTCTGCCTATATACTTGCCGAACTCCAGCACGCGCGTTACCATCGATCCGCGTAAACAGTGCTTCTCGCGACCGAATCTCGACCGCGAACGGAACGGACGCGAAGAAGGAGGATATAATCTTTTCTGTGAGTCAAATGCGACAAGCCAGACGATGGTAATGCAAGGCTTTATTTTTTTACTCGCGCGAGGCTTTTCCCCCGAGTACCTTACCTGAGAAGAAGCGAACGATCGTACCGTAAGATAGGCGGGAATATAGCAAGACGATACGCGATGCATGCGTGTGTAACTGTGTTTCTACTTGAATGTTCCTAACAGTGTGCAGATTTCTCAACCATTACCGTATCTTCTTTCTCCCTTTACTTATGGATGTCCGAATTGTGAACAAATTTTTCCTGAAAGTGGAGTCGGAATAATAATCACAACAAAAACAAAACGCCTTCCTTTTCCGTACTTCAACCTACTTCGAGAATCCCTTTCAGTATCGGAGAGGATCGAAACGTTGCGTTCGCTTGGAGAGATAATTATACACGGATCGCGTACTAACCATTGCGTTTCGATTCGTGCATTCTCTTCCGCTATAAGTTCGTTTCAATCAACGCGCCTCGGCTTCACCGACAAGGGAGATATTCCTCATTGATTTCGACGTGTATTTGAAAGATTGTAGATGAGTTAGAAATAAGAGGCATGTATTTACTTTGTAAATACTTTTACTGTAAATACTTTGCCTCTCTCGCGTTTAGAAGAGCCTCTCGAAAATAATTCCATGTATTTGATTAGCGAATATATTTGGGAAATGAGATGATTTGGAAATATTTTGACCGACCTTTCGACATTTTGATTATTCAACCGTGCAAATATTAAAAATTGACACATATGAAATTAGCGATGCAAAAGTTTGTTTCAACCCTGAAACGCGTGCGAAGAGTATAAAAAAAAAAAAAATTAAATGTCTTCTATTTCACATTACTTCACAATGTATTCAAAATTTATTGAAATTAGTGAAGGGAACTACTATATTTCCTGCGAATCTTTTTTTTTTGCATTATTCATCGTCCAATCTGTGCGTCCATACTCTTGCCCGTCGATTAGTTAACACGAAAAAACGCACAGATGTTGTATTTCTCCTCTATATGTTTTTTTTATTGCAGATCGTTGTAACAACTTCACCCGATCCGGATGCAATTCCATGGCGCGGGATGTCGCAACAGATGCGGACTACAGAGGTGGATGCATACGCACACAGACATAAATGGTGCAGGTCGGCGCAACAGTGCGTCGGATCGCGCGCTCATCGCCGAGATCACGTGTAATCGCCCGCTTGAATTGCGCTGAGATTCCTCAATCCGCGGCGAAGCGACGACGACGGCGTTGTGAAATCGCGTCGCACGATCCGATCAAGATCGAACGACGATATTCGCGAGGTCTAGCAGTGCGCGACACGCACTTCCCGCACGAGAATTCGCGCGTAGGGCGAATCGGGAAATCGCGAAGACTCTCCGATAGCGATGGATCCCGCCGAGAGTCGAGATAACGAATCACAGAAGTCGGACGAGAGATTCTCGACAACAGACGGGGGATTCTTCGTCGGGAGGAAGATTTACTAAAGTGTGGGCCACTATATGATAGTGTACAATTTAATTTATTACCGTCGTGATAAGTCGTGAGAGACTCTTTTCGTGAAAACTCAGACGTGTCTCTCTCGCTCATCGCTGCCCGATAGCGAGGAAAATCCGCGCGTCGACGAGGCGAAACGAGGCGGATCCTGGTGACGGCAAACGACAGGTTCCGGAGCACGCTTCTTCGAGACTTTATCCACGATATGTCGTGCTTGCGCACATCGCGACCTGAAGTAACGAGCCTGCTTCCCGACCGAATCTTCATGCTCGTAACAGTCGCGACGTAATGGTTCTATCTTCCAACCGTATAACTGTAATGGATTTCTGTTTTATTCCCTCCTACATCATCAATAAGGCTCCGAATTTGTGATCGATATGCGTTGGTTTCCAGTATCTAGACTAGTGACATTAATCTCTTCAGGGAGAAGTGTTCATTACATTTCGAAGAAATTGACTCAATTTTAAATATATTTTAGCATAAATATTTTAAATATGATAAATTTTAAATATGATATTTTAACATAAATATGATATTTGCCTATCATATGGCGAGATCTCTCTTTCTTATTATGGAATATTTATTCGGTTGTGATGAATATTTCATTCACATTAACGTCAGATATATGTCTTTGTCGACAATATTTGAATTAAAAGAGAAGAAAAATTTAAACGTACGTATGCGTGTCAGAGAGTAATCCTGAAAAACTTAAATATCATTTCCGCTTGCTCATGGACATGCTTTCATTCTCGCTGAATTTCAGGTCCCAAGAGTTCTCACATTCTTATACTCCTTTTGCACTAAGAAAATTTCAATCTTTTTAACGAAATTTTTTGAACAGAGGAGAAACTTGCTATCTATTAGTATGTTTTTTGAGCTAAATTTGTCGAAATTAATCGAAGGCGCTGCAAATACACTTAACCTAGACGAGATACTTTCTTCTCCCGAAGAAGATATTGGTTAGAACTTTCTCGCTATAAATAGACGTCGCTAGTTTTTATTGTACGCGTTATTTCGATAAAGGGAGAAGCTTTGATGAGCCGAATAGTGCCGAGTATCGGCAAATAACACGGCGGGTAACTCGGCACGCTTTGTTATCGCAGAGAAAGGGCTGGCTCTGTACTTTACAGAATAAAGTATAACGTAGAAAACAATTAACGTGACGAGCAACAAACCATTCCACTGATCAAATCGTGTCGTTCTATTCGCTTCGATCAGAGCGATCGGGTTCCCACCGTTTTCATAGCTCGCTCTTTCATCCTCGAGAATAAAACGAGGAAAACTCGATACAAATATCGCGACAAACACGGGAATATTCCTAGGGAATACTATATATAAACAGTGAATATTATATAAAAGTTTTTATATAAAATGTACGTCAGAGATTGCGCGCTTTCGCAACTTCAACCAAGAATCGGGGAATTTTTCTCCCATCGTTGTCCACGTTTCCTACGTTCACACTTAAAACGTCTTTCTCTATCCTTTCTTCATTTTACCTGCTTCTTTCTTAACGATTTTTAATTAAAAACCTTCAACTTTTAGCCTAATCTCGAACTTCAAGATAACTTTGCCTCTCGGAAAATCGTACGGAGAAGAATCAAGTAATTTACCTGAAGCAAAGATACTAATGCCTTGACAGATACTTAACTCTAAACATTCTTATTATGTGTTTTGGTCTTTAATTTAAAGAAATATTTAAATTTGCAACACAGAATATATACATTCTATGTTTATACATACATATTTTATGTTAAAAGTTGAAATCTTCCTGATTAAAGACCAAAACACGCGATAAGAATGTTCAGAGTTAGGTACATGTCCAGGTATCGGTATCTTACGCTTCATTTTTTGCAATTGATTTCTCGAGAAGCGCGCTGTCCTTCTCGGTTGCGACTCGAACGTCAAAAGCGGACAGAGACCATCGGCTGATACCGCGGCTGGTTATTACACGTCGGTCAATAATTCAGGAGGACCCCCGAGCGCGACGCGAAAACGAGATCTCGTTCGACGAAAAGACGCTTTCGGCATCCTGCTTTTCTTCTTTTCCTCCTTCGTCTCTTACTCTTTCGCTCGGCCCTCCGATTTCATTTCGCGAAACTCCCCGGCCCAGGAGTGCTTCCACACACGAGATACCGCGGTGAATTATTTGTGCGCCACTTGGCTACGCCGCGCCGGTGCGAAACGAAAGAGGGAAAGGCAGAAAAGAGCGCAGAGGAGGACGGAGGCGAACGAGTTACATACGAAGAAACGCAAGCGAGACTAACGAACATGCCGCGCGACCGTATATGCCGACTAAATAAACTTGTAAAACAACCTCGTTATAACTTCCAGGCAATAGTTAGAGCCCGAAGAACGACCCCGACGGGATGTCCGAACTGATACGGCTGCACACGGTGTCCCGGAAGTACGCGACACTTGCAATATGTAACATGCGCGATCAATGTATAAATCAGAGCAACCGGCAGAAAGATTATGGCGAGGAAGATTATTCTTTCCATTTATTTTCACTTTAACATATATCTCATTATAATAAAATATACTACACGGAGAGAATCTTATAGTAAAAATTACTGTAGAATTTAATAAAGCGAGGAACAGATCGATACTCTGTAGTCATTGAGTATTCTTTCATTTGATACATTCATATTTTTTTATATTTTATGTAGTACTTTTTATATTTTAGGAACTGAAATGTGCTATTTGAAAATTTTTTGCGCACAACTTTTTTTTCACACACTTTTGTGTGGAAATTCTTGTTAGAAAATCTTTTATGCGCATATATAATGCAATGTATTTCTAATTATATTTCTAGTAAAATTTATTATGTTCCTTCGTAAAACAGATTTCACCGAGAATCTGTTTTTGTGTGTTATCAGAAACATAGTAAAATTGAGAAGAATTTATATGAAAAGAAACAATCTATAATATTCTCACCGTGTATTTATTTATCTATGTTTTATCTTTTAATTTATTCATTTCAATTTTTAGATAATTCGTCTGTTTCGATAGATATAACACGTTAATTTATGTGACTTAATTTATCTACTTTGATTTGATTCACTATCAGAGACACTATCTCGAGTAATCGTATATTTCGCCGTTTTAAATACGTTATTTGGAAAGGGCGGATTAATTGTTGATAAAGCACTAATAAAATTTGTAGATTGTCAAGCGGCGATTCGACGTTGCCGGCGTGGAAATAAAAAGCTCACGAAACCGATGGTGCATTATATCGCGAGCCGAGTCGCAATACGCGTTCATTATTTTGACGATTAACGTGACAACGACGCGCCCGTTTTACTCATCCGACGTGATTGGTCTTTGTTTCCGCATCTGACAATAAACCGGCTAATGTAATCTAATTATCACGACGATATACGGCGAATTAAAAAAGAAAAAAAGGCTGCACCATACGCAATCGACACGTGCCTCGCGCTAATGAAAATATCGCATGAGCGAGATAATCTCGTGAAACACGTTAAACGTTAGCCCGATGAGTATCGCCACTTTGATAAGCTCCGACGCATACTGCAATTCGATTGTTGCAGATAATCCGTGCATTTAAACTTTTGTATTCAGCGCAAATGCAGAATGCATTTAACTGCTCGTTCAAAATGAGCTTGCCTCGGAAAAAGGATCGTTACAAACAAATTTCAATTTCAAAAAATCAGAGTCATTTTATCTCTTCCTAGTCTTCTGATTCAATTTAATTTACAAGGGAAGGACCAGGTGACTCACCCTGGGATTTCGACCCCAATTTTTTTAATTATTCTGGAGATGAAAAAAAAGATACATGTCCCGGCGTTTGATTGAATAGGCCTTAGTTTCGGAGTAATAAATTTGTGAAAATTGGCCATACCCGAAGCGCATCGAGCGCCATATGAGCCTTCCCGGTAACTGTACTTCCAACCAGTCCAGTTGGCTT